AGTATTAGTACTGTGTACAGAAAACAAACATTTTAATTTTTTAAAGCCAAAGTGTGGATGTTCCTTAATTGTTTACATCTCCTGAGTTTGTGTAACAAGTTGAAAACTCAGAACTGAACATGACAACTTGATACTGAAACAACTTAGTCGTGATTGATGCCTCTCAATGAAAGCTGTGCTCATGTGTATGACTAACTACCTTATGTATCTGCATATGCAACACACAGATGAGGATACAGATATGACAGAGATATACAATATATCATATGTCTGTATCTATAAATCTGCCTTTTCACATTAATACTAATGCAGGACTTGAACAAAATCAGTGCAACATGTGCCATCAGATTTATGGGCCAACTCATTTGTGAAGCAGTAAAACAACAGTAGTCAAACTCTTTAGCACAGCTCACATTGCATTACTTGTTTAAAGTTGTAATGTGTTACAGAAATCAAACAGTGTCTGCTTTTGTACAGTGGTGCGTTTATGGTGCAATATGTAGTGAATTGTAAAATGTGAGCTTATTGTATGCTATGGTCTGGTCTGTACGATCTAATAAATACAGAAACCTACATAGAAAATGCAAAGTTAACGATGGACTTCTGAATCTCTCAGTGATTTAAATCAAATGGTGTAATATAAGATATGTGACAGCTGCATTGCTATAAGGGGATTTAACATATACATTAAACTACATTCATGTTGACAAGGTTAAAAGATTAAATGGTGAGTTTACTTGATTATAATTTCTGCCTCACCTTTGCTACCCAGTAAACAAACTTAAGTTACACTTCATGATGTATCAGTATGTATGTAATTTCTTAAACAAGAGCCACTTCTGCTTTGCAACAGTATGATGTTCCTGTCTGCATGTATTTAATGTTGATACAGGGACTAAATGATCATTCATATAATAGAGTGATTGATTAAGGGACATAATTTTCTACAAGCTATTTTCAACTTTATGGTGGCACATTAAGGTTCACATACCATAGTTTAGTCAAATATTCACTGAATCCAGTTTTGCTTTTTTGTGGACCATAAATCTACACAGACATGTAGGTTGTCCTGCACAACACCTGGTTTACGACACTAAAGGAGAAGTTGTTGAGTGTAGGTGTCGAGCTTTATTTGCTGGACGAAATGCCCAGTGTTTTTATTTTAAAAACACATTCCTCTCCCATCAGAAAATGTGACACACAGAAGTATATCACAGAGCAGGGTTATGTTAGCCTTAGCAACATAATTGGGTTGCAGTTCATCATTATTGACTAATATAGAGGAGTCTATATCAACCCCCTTTTTTAATCTTTCCTAAAAGTTGTCAAGTCAAATTTATTTATATAGCACATTAAAAACATCAGGAGAAGAACCAAAGTGATTTACAATCATAGCAAGTAGATCTGTAAGATTCTCAGATATGTGGTTTTTATTTTTAACTTCTTTGTTCCCTCTAATCCTGAGATGGTGACAACAAAACAAGTGTCAAAGAAAAGACAATGTGCCCTTTTAGAGATATTTTCTCTACAGCCGCTCTGCTTCAAGAACAAAACTTGTCACTGTCGCTCTGGACTCCCCGCCTCTGGAATGTAAGTATTGATTCAAGTAAAACTTCAATTCCTTCTTATAAGTTCTACAAGATACACATAAAAAAGACAAATAAGAATATATAGCAGCAACTCAAAATATCTGTAAGGCAAGTTTAAAAAAGAATTGATATTATTTTTCTTATACAATTTTCTTCTGACAAATTAGATTAAAATGGTTTCTTTGTTTCTGAAGACAGACCCTTGATATAAGTGCATGGCACACACTGTACCATCTCTAGCAGCACTGTGGTAAACAATACACTTAATGGAACTATTAGGAGCAGTGGTAATACAGTTTAACTCAAAACTCTGCAAAAATGCTTTTCTGCTACAAAAGACTGAGGTCTATAGATATATTGTATATTAAAAATCTTTCAAATTGATAGTACATGTTGCACAGTGATATTTTATTCACACTGTAGGCATTTAAGTATACTCTAATGTGTTGTGTGGACTAAATGTTTTTTCCATTTAACATTTTGGCTCATCTCACTCCACAGTTTGGCCCATCTGCTTAAATGGAGCACATGGGCACAAGTCCCTGAAAACAATGAGCTCTCATGACAAACTTAAATCAGTTACGATGGCATCACAGCTTATGTGCATGTCATTCAACATCAAACAAAACTGCCCTTTTTTCATATTGATACATCTCCAGTTCTCAACAGACCGGGGAAGGTTTCAGATCACAGTGATGATCAGGGCTTCATTCCTTTTAGGCCAATACATTTTTCATAAATTATTTTTCTTCTAATCTAAGCATGAATCTTCAGTTGAATCAAATGATTTAAAAAAAACATTTCCAAGTCATTCAAGAACAGCATGTGCGGATTAAAACATGAGGGACAATTCTAAAGGCATGGGCATTTGAGAAAGTACTTGGCAATACCTCTGTCTTGTATGACGACAGTGGAAACAGGCTCCAGCCTCTGAGTTGTCATTTGTGATCACAGTCAGCACAGAATGTCACAACTAAAAAAACATGTCTGGTGTACAGTTAAACTATGAAGATGTATTTCAATAATGACAGTGAGTCATTGAAGGATTTTTTTTTCCTGAATGTGGCATAATGACTGTCTGCTCCTCTGTCTGTCTCTTTGTGTGTGTACATGCATGACCTCATCCCCCCAGAGAGATGAGGTAATGTGCGTGTGTGCAGGAGGGATTGAAATTCAGCCCCAGAGAACAACTTATTTTTATTTAATATCCACTTTATCCCAAGATTTTAGCAGCATATTTTAGCAATTGAGTGGTTGCTGTGTGCATGTGTGGTGTCTTTTAAAGAAATCAAGAATTAATTAAAGCTTTGTTATGGCGTCTGATTTTAATAATATAATGTTTGTTTGGAACAAACTGAGGGAAGAAGCATTGTTTAGTATTCTTTCTCGTCACCACTCTACTCCGTCACACTGCCTGTTGTCTGCAGTGCTGGTCTGACACACACAACAGTCTGGAGCAAAACACTGCAACAACCACCAGCTGGCACTAGTTGCCCAACACATGCTGTAATGCTGTATTTTATTTGTTAGTGTATTTTTCTGATCTCTCAAAACATCTCTCTTGTAATGCTGATGAAACAATTTTGATTTTAGAAATAATATTGTGTGTGATTATTTTGTCTGAGAAATAAAAATATTGTGTTGTAAATGAAATATTGTGCAGGGATACATAAAGTCAAAGGGCAACACGTTTGTTATTATTTAAAAGAACTAAAACATTCTGACTGTATTGATACAGCTGACTTTCTTTGTCTGCAGCATCCCTCCCCCCTCTGCTTCCTTTCTCTCATGCGCGTTCGCATGGACAGTGACCTGCCTCATGGAGCTGCGTTGCCATGGTGACGTGATGTCTTTTCGCTGGAGTACAGTGTACTCTAAAGCCAGCCCCACCCCTGGACCCCCTCCTCCACTACACAGTGCAGTACCCGCAGCTTGCAGACATCATACGAGCCCTTCCCTGAAAAATATAACTGTTTACTTTGCTTTACAAGGGCTGAGAATGAAAAAAACGGTGCTTGAATTTTTAAAACAGATTTGTATCATTGCTGGAGAGACAGGAATTAGGCGGAGGTGATGCGGAATGCGGCAGCCTACATGCACGCGCACGCACAGGATACGTTTGGCCTACATCCAGAACCAATACGTAGCAGAAGCAGGTGGGAGGGGGTCGCGCACACTCTTGGTTGTAATGTGGGTCAGCTTGTTTCCTAGAGGCCGTTATTAGAGTCGTCATGTATTTTTCCTGTCATGGTTTTCATCCGGATGTCCACATGAACTGCTGCAGTGCGGAAAGGCTGCTGCAAAGGCTGCTGCTACCAGGCAGAACTGTGTGTGTGACCAATGCAGAGCTGCGATATGAGTGGGCTCATGTGAGCAGCACTTGCCGGTTTAATCCAGGAGATGTCGCTGTTCACCTCTGCAATAGGAGTAGGGTTGTGGGAGTGCGCTGAACAGACATCATAGAGTTTAAGCAGATAGATTGTGAATGTCAGCAGCTTCTTTAGCACCAACACAATAAAAGAGGTAAAGCTGAATTCAGTCTGGACTCAGTTGACACACGTTAAGTTCGTTCCTCAGTGCTCATTATTAGCATCATCGCACAGTCTCTTGCTCATATCACAGCCTGTCAGCTGGAGACACAAAACAATGACACTTGTCAAGAGAATGTAAAAATTCATATGGAAAATAGAACATGTATATATAGGTGAATTACTAATGAATAAATGTGTATTTGTATTTGAACGTAACTTTTCATAATTATTGCTAAACTGCATCACTCTCTACAGACCCACATCATTCTTCTTACTGTGGGTAAAAAAATAAAAATGCTCCTTTAAATCTGTCTTTAGATTGTTTCATTTTAACACACTAAGTTGTCATTAGACAAGACATGTGTTGGTAATATCTATAGGTGGGAATAGACATCATAAAACAATGGGATAAAATATAAAATAAGTGACATTTTGACTTTATGGAGAGATAAACTTACCCCTCAGGTTGGAAATATTAATATTAATATTACTTTTCAGTGTCGGCTTGTAAGAGCCAGACTTAAATACAGAGCTGAATGTCAAAATAAGATATTTTGTTATTGTAACTTCGGCTTTGAGCATCTTATGTGGAATAGTTTTTTTAAACAAAATCACACAGGCTAAACTAAAAGCATCGCAGCAGTGACAATGGGTGGTGCTGTTACACCACATATATTCACAATGGTTGCGTCTGTGGGAGAGGCACATCTTGTTTTAAATGTGCAAAGAGACCGAGTGACAGAACGGGCTGAACAGCCTTCATCCTTCTGCTAGAAACGATGGTTCCCGCGGAGCTTTGTTTTTTATTCTCCATAAGAAAAAACTGAAAATTCCATACGAGTTTTGTTAACGGATTTAAGACCAGCGATTAAATCAAACAATGGCGATAACGCACAGCAAAGGACAACGACTGGATGTGTGGATTTTCTTTTGTCTGACGCTGCTGGTTGTGATGAAACTGGAGGGAATCTCTGCTCAAATCCGGTATTCTATCCAGGAAGAAGTGAAATTAGCGACGCCAGTGGGAAACGTTGCCAAAGACCTTGGATTAGATCTTGGACGACTGGTGGAAAGAAACCTTCGTGTCGTGTCAGGAACAAAGCAGGATCTGTTTAAGGTAAATGCCAGAGATGGGGTTTTGTTGGTAAACCAGAGAGTGGACAGAGAGGAGCTGTGCGCAAAAAGCGCTCCGTGCGTCACAAATCTGAAAGCAGTGGTCGAAAATCCCCTCGAGATGCATCAAGTAATAGTTGAAATAATCGATGTAAACGACAACTCGCCGAAATTTCCTGAAGAGAACTACACATTGGAGGTACTGGAGTCCGCCGTGGTTGGATCTCGATTTCAAATGGAAGGAGCCCACGACTTGGATGTTGGCATGAATTCCTTACAGTCATATAAACTGAACCACAACCAGTATTTTCGCCTGGAAACAGAGGAATCCGGGGAGGACGGAAAAGTGCCGTTCCTGATTTTACAACGACCGCTGGACAGAGAACACGCAGCTCAACACTGGTTACAATTAACAGCTTCTGATGGAGGGAAACCATCGAAATCTGGCACAATTAATATCACCGTTATTGTGTCTGACATTAATGACAACCCACCCGTGTGTCATAAACAAAAATACACCGTAACAATAAAGGAAGACGCGCCTGCAGGGACATTTCTTCTGACAGTAAATGCAACTGACTCGGATGAGGGAATGAACGGTGAGGTCGAATATTCTCTGAGGAGTAAACTCAGAGGCTTGTCTTCTGAGCCGTTTGATTTGGATAGTAGAACTGGCAGACTAACAGTGAAAGGAGGCCTCGATTACGAAGAGAAGCAGGTCTATGAGATTAAGGTCCTGGCTGCAGACAAAGGTGCAGTGTCTCTGTCCACACACTGCAACGTGGTGGTTAGAGTGGAAGACGTGAATGATAACCATCCGGAAATAGAGATCACGTCCCTCTCCAGTCGCATTCCAGAGGACGCACCTCTTGGAACAGTGGTGGCGTTGATGGGTGTGACGGACTTGGACTCAGGTGTGAATGGACAGGTCGTGTGCAGTGTGCCTGGACATTTACCCTTTGACTTAAAGCCATCCCCTGACGGACAGTCGTACTCTTTGATCACCAAGGACTACCTGGATAAGGAAACAATGCACATGTATGAGATCACGATAACAGCTAAAGATTTAGGGAGCCCCGCTCTGTCATCTACCAAGGTGATACAGGTGGATGTGCTAGATGTCAATGATAACAGTCCTTTGTTCACTGAGAGCCCATACACTTTTTATGTGCCTGAAAATAACAAGGCTGGAATGTCCATTTTTTCAGTGCGTGCAACTGATGCTGATGGAGGAGAAAATGCAGCAGTCACATATTCATTAGACCGGAAGAGTCCAGGTCCCACTGTAACCTCCTTTTTAAATATAAACGAAGCCAATGGCACGATTTCAGCGCTGAAAAGCTTCGACTTTGAAACAGTGAAAACGTTCAAGTTCCACGTTGTCACGTCAGATTCTGGAACTCCGTCACTGAGCAGCAACGTCACAGTGAACGTGTTCATTCTGGATCAGAACGACAACGCTCCAGTCATCCTGTATCCAGTCAGCTCCAACGG